TTTCTTCACTGAAGGGATCCAAGTCAAACAATCTGACATATTTTTAATATTGTTCACTTGTTTGTCCTCAAAGTCCGGGCATATATAACATCCAGCATCTCCTAGGATTTGCTGTTGGGCAGTCTTCCACGCCATGGAGAAAAACTCTCCATAGTGCATGTGTGTTACAGTAATCTGACAAATGGATCCATCCAATTCAGCTGTAAAGCCTTCCCAGTCAGCCTTTCTGAAGTTGAATCTCAGCAGGTACTTTGTTTTCTTGGGTTGTACTGCAGCCTCGGTTGACACTTGCACTGGTCAATGTTATGATTTTTCTGAACTTTCAGAGATGACAAAGATGAAGTCAGGATTGTTCCTCTTGTTCCGTTGTGCACTTTGGAGAGTATATTTATCCTGGAAATCATAGAGCAAACTCAAGTTGTTTGTTGATGCTTGCTTTTCAACTTTTTCACCATTATTGTCATTGTTGGAGTATCCCCAGATGGTGTTGACTTTTGAAGTTGCCTATACTCCAAGATATGTGGAGGGGTGGTGGTGGTGTTTCCTGGCAGGGGACAGTCAGTTGGCCATGCTAACTCTTTGGGTAGTTTTTAAAGAGAAATCACTGCTATTTGTTTGAGTTCAATAAGTTCCATTGTACCATGGTGTTTCACAACAGTGTTTTTCACCAGTCTTTTGTTGCATACACGAATTGTGCTACTGTAGGTGTTGCTTTTGACATTCACAGCAATATACACACCAGGTATGTTTGGTGTGGTTGTCTCTCTCTCTGTCTCTCTTGCAGGCACTTTTATGCCAAACAGAATGTCAGACTTCTCTGCTGATATTGAAATGGCAATTTTAGGTGCAGTCTTGGGCTGAGGCCCCGAAAGGGGCCATTTATGTCAATGTTTATGTCTATATCTCCTATTGTGGTCTCAGTCCATATTGTTAGAATTCGTTTCTCCCATGGTTAGTTGCAATACTAGATTAACAGAGTATGACATGAACATATCTGACAAAGAAGAGAAGACGTTATGGATACCTCGCACCGCCACAACTCCCTTACTGACTTTCTGCAGACATGAACCCTTTGTGTGGGTCTGCACTCCTTCCAAAGAATCTGATTGAATTTGTCTCTTTAATTCTGAGACACACAAGTCATGTCAAAGTCCATATATATGAAAGGAACACTGAGGAATTTCACATATTTTTCTGCTATATAATGACTAAGGGACTAAATTATATCAGTTGGTTTAAAATATTGAAACTTTCTTAATTAGTTACAATATTTTAGAATAATGTAATTAATTGTTTTTAACTTTAAAGACAACCTAATAAGATATTTCTCCAAATTATACCCTCTTGGTTAATGAGTCAAAATTTCAGACATTCCATCTTTGGAGAGCAGCAGGATCTTGACTTACTCTTTCTAGTTTATAAATGTATTTTTCAAATTTAAAAGTGTTGGATGTTGGTTTGAAGGCTTCATTAACATGCAGATTAGCATAAATAGCACAAAGTGATTAGTTGATATGAATGACCTCGAAAAAGTACATTTCAAATCCTAATGTGTGTATTAATGGAGTTCAGGAAGCCACATTCATCATCCTGTGACTGATATAAAAAAAAAGTAAATACTGACTCATTTAAATATATACAAGGCTTTACCAACTGTTTCCTCAACCTTTATCATGAGCATTTTTCATCACAGACTGCTTTATGTACTGTGACAAAGTTCCTCCTCTGCCTTGGTGGGTCCTGCACTTATTGGTGGATTTGCTCCCCTCAGAGATTTACGGCAGCCCTCAGTTTGGCCACTTTTACTAGTGGCTCAAACCTGCCATTCACTCAGCTAACCTCATCACTGGCCAGCATGGGGGAAAGCAAGAAGAACAATCCCCTAGTGGGTCAGGGGACAGGCCAAGGACTTTCGCCTCTGGTGGAACCCACAGTCCAGGTCAACTCCTCTTATATTCAATAGGGGGAAGGGGGAAGGAGAGAGGGGGAACCAGGCCCACCCTCTACTCCGGGTTCCAGCCTAGGGCCCTGTGGATCACAGCTGTCTACTATGTTTCTTGTAACAGCTGTGTGAAAGCTACAACTCCCTGGGCTACTTCCCCATGACCTACTCCCAACACCTTTTTTATTCTCACCACAGGACCTTCCTCCTGATGCCAGATAGTGTTTGTACTCCTCAGACCTCCAGCAGCACACCCTGTCACTCTCAGCTCTTTGTGTGCCCCTCACTAACTGAAGTGAGGTCCTTTTTAAACCAAGTGCCCTGATTAGCCTGCCTGTCTTAATTGATTCTAGCAGCTTCTTAATTGGCTCCAGGTGTCCTAATTAGCCTGCCTGCCTTAATTAGTTCCAGCAAATTCCTGATTGTTCTGGGATCGCCCCGTTACCTTACTCAGGGAAAAGGGACCTCCTTAATCTGGGGCTAATATATCTGCCTTCTATCACTCTCCTGTAGTCATCTGGCCTGACCCTGTCACAGTACACACTGTTTATGACGGCCCAGTTGCAAAGCTAAAATAGACTGTTGTAACAATGTGAATCGGAGGCTTGAGTAATGGCCTATAAAATGAATCCTGTGCATTTTTTTCAGCTGTTATCCAATTTATCAATGATGTTCTTCAAAACAGAACTTGCTAAAATCCCAAATCTTGCTAAAATTAATCATTAATCAAATTATACATATAGTACATTAGGAGGAAAGATGGTCTAGTAAATAGGACACTGAAAGGGGGCCTAGGAGACCTGGATTCAGGTCCCTGATCAATCACAGAGTCCTGGGTGACCTCAGGTAAGTCACTTACTCTACCCTGTGCCTCAGTTTCTGTAAGATGAAGCGTAATACTTACATACTTCACAGGGCTGTTGTGAGGGTAAAATGCATTAATGACTGTGATGCACATAGATAAGTGATGAAGGCTACATAAGAATCTAGTGTGTAAGACAGGGTTTGTTAAAACTAAAAGCCAAGACATCATTTATTGTAGGTTCCCATGGGTTTCCCACCTCTTCAAACAAAGTAGCTGATCTAACGCTACAAGGCACAATACTAATTTTTCAATGTAAAGTGTTACTTGAGATTGCTCACTTTTCTTTCTGCTCAGACTCTTACTGTGCGGGAAGGATGGATTAATACTGACTTTCCATTTACCGAAGATCTGAGCTGCCCTACTTTTTTTTTTTCTTTTGTGACCTGAATGGCAAGTACTTCTTTGCCAGTACTGGATTTAGCTTTCAAAACAATTCTGTACGGACATGGCAGAATGGGTCAAGCACCGAATTGCACAAATTGTACTGTTGGAAAGAGAAAAAATCTTGGTTTTCATAGATTTGCGAAAAGGTCAAAATATGGGTTTTAAGAATTATTAAATCAGTGTTAATTAAAAAATAAATGGTCATCCAGTAACTGATGAATTTGATAAATACTAAAAAATAATGTGAAAACTTACCATGAACAAAGATGCGTAACAAATCCAACCTAAATGATCTTATGCGTTCCCAAAGTATGCTTTCTCCACCATCCTTTTTACTCATTTCAGCTGAAGGTTCAAATTCAGTTATTTATACCAATTGAAGTTTCTAAAATATGTGCAGATATGTAATAGGCTGCACATAAAACAATCAGTTATCTGATCCATTCAGGAATGTGGTATAATACAGTTCATGACTGGCAGAGCTACAACTCAGTCTCAGCTTTTAATGAACAATTTTTATAGAAGTTGGGGTAGAAGAATGATGTTGTGGCCTAGGCTCTGCATTGGAATTCAGGATAGCTAGGTTCAGTCCTCCGCCTTTCCACAGACTTTGTGTGTCCTTGAACAAGTCATTTAGCCTGCCAGTGCATAAGTTCTCCATCTTCTGCTTGTCAGTTCTCTCTGTTTTTATTTATATTGTGGTAGCCCATAAAGGCACCAATCAGACAGCATGGTCCTGTGGTGTTAGACACTGTGCAAAGGGGTGAAACAAAGACAGTCCCAAAGAGATACAATAGGTGAACGCACAGGTAAATGGAGGCTGGGGAGGATGTGTGTGAGTTAACAGCTATCAAGGGTAAGTTCGCATATTTCTGTTGAGGATGGGGAGCAAAAGGAGAGGTGTTGCGGTTGATATTACAGGTGGCATCCCCTTTACTGTATGTTGGGGGGCAGGGAAGACCAATATTGCAAACCACCCATCTTCAGATATAAGGAGTTGTACCCCAAAATCATGAGACTGGCTTTGCAATTGTGAGATTTAGAATGAATGACTGAATAGTTCTTTTACTTTTCCATCTGGTTTTTGAGTTTCCAGGGTGCACGCAGGCCATGTTTGCAGCTTTTTGCCCCACACCCAGTAGGGCTTTTTGCTAAATGAAAACTGAGGTTCTCATATAAGCACTTGGCTTCAGGAGCTGGGCTTTAAATAAAACATCAGATATTGCTGAACTCATGGTACAATTGCAATTATATCACAACTGAGAGAAATACCTTGGGAAAATCATCTAACAATTGTATGCAAAGAGGCCTTATAGTACAAACCTTTTGATTATTTTAACTCGGTATATATTTAAAAGACAATTCTTGTATCCTGTTAACATGGCTGAAGTGCTCTGGGTGGCCAAGGAAAATGAACTCCTGCTACAAGTCTATATCAATCAGGAAACAGAAATGTAAATCTTGCACTACATTTAATTTTTTCATCCTTAATGTACCACTTACCTGTCATGACAGGTGCATGATATGAAATTGTTTTCAGAGAGCACTGGGTTTTTTTCTGTCTTTACGTAAACACAAATTGTCCTTCAACTTTTAATATTTCTCAGTTTCTTCAGTAACTGTGGGTATACTTGGTTTTATCATTTGATGGGGTGGCTTGACCCACAAGATATTCTTCATTCCAATGATAAACATTATTGTTGTATTTCTGTCAAAACAACAGAGATGGAGGTTTTGTTGCAGACTATTTTGCTTTCTGTGGCTGGTTCTCTTTTGATAAAAAGTAGCTGTGATTTGTCACACTGACAGGTACACCTACTGCGAAATGCTGGTGATGAAGTTACCATCACTGTACAGTACCTCAGGGAAGCTCCATCATTTCTAAAGCTCCCATTAGGTAAGAAGAAATTAATGGGTACAGGTAATTTTTTTTCCCTTTGCAATATTTCTCATAATGATCAGACACTGACAGAAATAGTAATCTTATTTTCAGATGTTTTACTGCAAGAAGGTTTATTCTTTAATGTAGTTTATTATTTAAGGTTCAATGTGTAAGAATATAGGCCCAGATTTTTAAATATATATATAGGCTTTGCTGCGCTCTGTGTTGCAATACCTAAGTCAGTGGTCTCCAACCTTTTTACGCTAAAGATCACTTTTTGAATTTAAGATCAACCCAGGATCTACCCTGCCCCTTCCCCGAGGCAAAGCCCCCTCCCTCCATTCCCCCCTCCCTCTGTTGCTCACTCTCCCCCACCCTCACTCACTTTCACCAGATTGGGGCAGAGGGTTGTGGGGGGAAGGCTCTGGGCTGGGGCTGAGGGGTTCAGAGTGTGGGAGGGGGCTCCAGGCTGAGCCTGGGACAGGAGGTTGGGGTACAGGAGTGAGGGGTGCAAGCACTGGGAGGGAGTTTGGGTGCAGGCGTAATATGGTCACACTGCACCTAGTCTCATAGAATCCACTGGACACTTCATGAGTTTTACTTTTTATTAGTGTCATTTGTGGTTTATAGATCCAAAATCCTTCAGGGATTGTCACAAATCAGTGTAACATTCTCAACTCCTGGGTGTGGATTGGCTGAGCCTGGGGTAGGGGGTTGGGGTGCAGGAGTGAGGGGTGCAGAAGGTGGCTCCAGGCTGGGGCAAGGGATTGAGGTGCAGGAGAGGGTGAGGGGTGTGGGCTCTGGGGAGAGTTTGGGTGCAGGAGGAGGCTCTGAACAGGGGCAGAGTGTTGGGGTGTGGGAGGGGGGAGGGGTCTGGGCTCTGGGAGAGAGTTTGGGTGCAGGAGGGGGCTGTGAACTGGGGCAGGGGGTTGGGGTCCAGGACGGGGTGCGCGATGCAGCCTCTGGCTGGGAGGTGCTTACCACAGGTGGCTCCTGGTTGACAGCGCAGCAGGGCTCAGGCAGGCTGCCTGCCTGCCCTGGCCCCACACCGCTCCTGGAAGTGGCTGGCTGCTGGCACATCTCTGTGCCCCCTAAACGGGAGTGGGGCAGTTGGTCTCCATGTGCTTCCCGCTCCCACAAGTGCTGCCTGCTCAGGGAACTGGCCAATTGGAACTGGCCAATGGAAGCTGCGGGGATGGTGCTGGGGACTGGGACAGTGCGTGAAGCCCTTCAGCAAACTTCCACTGGATTTTAGAGTAATTTTAAATACCTGTTTTTAACAGATTTAAAAGCCTGAAAAAAACTACTAAAAACCCAAACATACCCAGTAGTGTTCAAAACTTGGTAGGGGTTTATTCAGTAACCTTCCCATCGAATGTGGTTTTAGCACGTCTGGCTATATAACAAACATTTATGAGAGATACAGAGACAGGTGCTCTGGCTGCTTCGAAAAATTAAATAAAGTTGAATCATTTCTTTCTTCTCTAGCTAAAATATGTGCATAAATTGTTATGGAGAAAATGAGCCTTATTGTACAGTTCTATGAATGTATTTCCATTTTTGCTAAGCCCAACAAATGTGCATGGAATAGAAGCATAAAAAAGCATATAGACATAAATGATTGTCATTCTCTGTTATGTGTTATTAAGTTAGAGACTTGATCGGCCTATTAATGAGAAATGATTTAAGAGGAATTTCAAGTGATTGCTGCAGACAGAATAATGAATTTTGGTGATAATGAATGTGGAGCTGTGAGTTTGAGTTTTACATGCATTTCTCAATATATTCAGATTGCCATAGTAAACTAAATGTAAAACATACATTATTTTAATGTGAAGGTTGCACAATTAAGCATGCAAAGAAACAAAAAATGTAAGAATTAAATCTAAAAGCAAAACCTAAACCCTGTCCTCTTTGGCATTTGTATTGTAATAGTCTTTAATTATGTAATTGCATACTATTTCTAATATAATATATATGTTATCTGTCACCTAAATAGACATACATATCTCAGATAAGCTGCCATCACCCAATATATTTACAGACAACCTCCAAATGCATACATGCCCGAGGAAGAATTAACTCAAAACTTGGCTTTTGAGCACATAACCATGCAATATTAACATTGCAATCATGTGTTTTTTTGCATTTAATTTCCCAATCAAAATAATGAATATCTCCAATTGTCTAAAATAACAGGCATTCAGCAACAAAAGAAATCAGATCCATTAATAAAGTTTACATGTCCACTCAATAGGCACCATTCAAGCCAAGAGCTAAGATGTATTTACAAACCAGTGCGTGCATATGCCCTTAATGCATGACTAGGGAATTTAGCTATTAATTTTAATGGGAGATGTGTGGCTAAATTCTCTATTCAGTTTTCAAAAACTCAACCTGACTGTAAAAAGGCTTAATCTGACAAACACTTAAACATGTGAGTAATCCCATTGAGCAGTCTATACATAAAGATATCTAACTGCCTTCATCTCTCTCATCCTGTAAAGTACAGCCTATGATCAGATGCATGCTGTTGCTTGTCATGCTAAAAGGCAGTCACATTTGTTTTTGTATAATGTTGTTTGTATTTCACCAATTCTCACATTGTAATCCTTCCTCAGTTGAAATAATAATGGATTGTTTAATATTTTAACATAGTTAAGCACTTATCTATCACCTTCTGATTTTCAGGTTCCCCTGGACCATCCAGTGATCATAGCAGTGGAGCTTCCTCACCTCTCTTTGACAGTGGTTTACATTTGAATGGAAACTCAACTAACACAGTAAGCAAATTGAGTCCAGTTAGTCTGATCATAATCTGTGTTACCACTACCTTCGCAAACCTAATTTCAAATGGTGAATCAAAATGAATCTCTTGTCATTTTCTTCTAAATTATTTAGTTGTCTAGGATATTATCGTAAGGCCATTGGCTAACTTCTAAAAGTTGGAAACAATACTTTTTCAAGTGAACTTTCACATGCTTTATTGAATTTCATAGAAATACAGAAGCCAAGATATTCCTGCCATGCCAGAAGGTATTTCAAGATTTAATTAGTGAGAAACCAATTTACATGCTAGGAATGAGAACATGAAAAAGAAAAAAGGAAGGTGGGCGGGGGGGGGAGGGAGGGAATAAGAACATTGTATTAACAATATGTCTAAGTTGAACCAAAATGAATGCCAGCTATTTTACAGTTCTACAGCGTGTAGTTTAGAAATGGGCAGATGTAACACCATGCAATGGTCTGTTGGATCTGCTGTTTGGAGACTTTTTCAAGGCAGGTGATTATTCACCAAAGCTATGGCATGTATGATAGTTTTAGCAGATAGCACTGTTGCTTCTTTAATATGAAGTTTGTGGGTACGCAAAAAAAGACAAAAGACACAAGCAGCCTCTACATCGTCACCCGCACCCTTCTTTTGCTGACTTGTCACAATCCTAATCTTTACACTTGGGTGCCAGCTTTCTCAAAGAGGATGGGAAGGGGAGGAGCAGTGGTGCGGCCATAGCCGTGATAACCTGTTACTTCACCCAACAGAGTGAGGCTAGTGTAGAAACAAGGAAAACACATATTGTACCCAGTAAAAGGGTGCAATAGGAAACTTCTAGCCATGCTTCCCCAGCACTCCCAGAGGCATTGTGCATCAGTCCAGCTCATTGTCTCCAGGAGCTCCGACTGGGATAATGCACATCTGCAGACACTCTCACTGTGGGTCACAGTCTTGCTGTAATAGGTCTGTTGATGCAAAATGCATCAAATTCACGTTTCTTTGCCATATCATCAAGGCTCATCACGCTTATGTATTTTTGATTCATAGTGTCAGTCCCCTCATCCCTTCAGCCTAGGCAGTGTTGTCTGTCTCTGCTGCCTGCTTGTCTGCTGCTCTCAGAAACATCGTTGTACTTTCTCCCATAGCATCTTCCCTTGATGATGCCCATTCCCAGACTGACCCATAAGGCTAATACTCACTCCACCACTAGGACTTGGTGTCAGATGACAATTTAATTAAAAAAGTAGAGCAATATAAAATTAACATGAAACATATGACATGGATTAAAAACTGGCTAAAACTGATAGGTCTCAAATTGTAGCTAGATGGGGGAATTATCACCAAGTGGGTATGTTTCTAGTTGGGTTCACAGGGATTGGTTATTGGCCCTTCACTGTTTAACTTTTTTATCAATGACCTAGAAGAAAACCTAAAATCATCAATTATAGTTTTCAGACAACACAAAGATTGGGGAAGTGGTAATTAATGAAGAGGACAGGTCACTGATACAGAGCAGCCTGCATCTCTTGGTAATCTGGGAGCAAGCAAATATGTTTTAATATGGCTAAATGTAAATGTATATGTCTAGGAACAAAGAGTGTAAGCCAGAGTTACAGAACGGGGGACTTTATTCTGGGAAGCAATGACTCTGGACAAGATTGCAGGGTTGTGTTGGATAATTAGCTGCATGTAAACTCCCAGTGTGACGCTCTGGCCCAAAAGGGCCTTCAATGCAATCCTTGGATGCATAGAAAGGGGAATCTTAGTAGGAGTAAAGAGGTTATTGTACCTCTGTCTTTGGCACTGCTTGAATATTATGTTCAGTTCTGGTGTCCATAATTCAAGAAATATTGATAAATTGGAGAGGCTTGAGAGAGGAGCCATAAGAATGATCATAGAAAGACACAGAACCATAGGGTTAAAAGGGACTGTGAGGGTCATCTAGTCTAACCTCATGATAAAGATGATTAGAAAACATGTCATACAGTGATAGACTTAAAAAGTTTAATCTATTTAGCTGAACAAAGAGAAGTTTAAGCGGTGACTTATTTAATACCTATAAGTACCTAAACAGGGAACAAATCTTTGATAATGGGCTCTTCAATCTAGCAGAAACAAGTATAACATGATCCAATGGCTGTAAATTGAAGCTAGACCAGTGGTTCTCAAACTTGTTCCGCTGCTTGTGCAGGGAAAGCCCCTGCTGGGCCGGGCCAGTTTGTTTACTTGCCGCGTCTGCAGGTTCGGCCAATTGCGGCTCCCACTGGCTGCGGTTCGCTGCTCCAGGCCAATGGGAGCTGCTGGAAGCGGTGGCCAGTACGTCCCTTGGCCCGCGCCGCTTCCAGCAGCTCCCATTGGCTGCGATTGGCCGAACCTGTGGACGTGGCAGGTAAACAAACCGGCTCAGCCCAGCAGGGGCTTTTCCAGCACAAGCGGCAGAACAAGTTTGGGAACCACTAAGCTAGACACATTCAGACTGGAAATACATTTTTAATGGTGAGAGTAATTAACCATTGGAACAATTTACTAAGTGTGGTAGATTTTCCATCGCTAACAATTTTTAAACCAAGACAGGATGTTTTTTCTAAAAGATATGCTTTAGGAATTATGCGCTAGGAATTATTTTTGGAAACAAAAAAGACAGTTTACCATCTAACTATAAGGCTACAGACAATAGGTATACACAGACCAGGGAGTACAGGGAAACAATGAGACAGTACTGGTCAGCATGATAGGCAGTGGTCTCAGCACACCAGCTGGCTTATCATTGTAAAGTATTTTATAGGTATCATAGTCCTTGAGAGTTTTAAGGAGGGTTTAAAGAAACAGAATGGAGAAACTTTGCAGATGTTACAAGGAGCTCCTCCCATGGGAGAAAGCACGAAAATGCTGCTTTGAAATAATTATTGTTGGATTTCTATTATTCAAGCTCACATCTAATTTAAGATAGGGTTTAACAGTAAGAAGAAGAAAGATGAGGAAGAGAAAGAAAAGAATAATGAAAAGATGAATCAACAGGGCCAGATATGTAGACAACTCTTTGAGGCAGGGACCATTTATGTTTCTACAATGCCTAACAAAATGAGGACCTGTTCCTGATGGCGGCTATGGGCTAAATAATATTAGATACTAGAAAACTATTGCTAAGGTCTCTTTCAGATACGTGGTACCTCTCCAGATTCTAGACATCTGTAGGCTACTTCCTTCATCCTCCATCTGGGATGGGTGGTTTTTATGCTATGGTTCCCAGATAACATAGTGATGAGCTCCAGTATAAATGAACAGATAGAAAGTCTAGTGCATGGCTGAGGACTAAGTACGTTGGATACTATTTTGCTTTATGATTTGCCTTTTTATTGTGCTTTTTGGGAATACTCCCTCCTTTTGGGTGATTACTATGAGATGTATTACTGGTCTTGGGTACCACGTATGCTGATTTTTAGTTATTGTATAAAATTAAAAATAAATGATTGGAGTTATATGGGCCCATAATAAAGAAATCAGAGTTTATGTTGCTGAGATTGAACTCTGAAGATTGTGGGCAAAGCTCAAAATCTTGTAGGGAGAGAGAGAAAGAAAAGAGGGGTGAATATCTAGAAACAGTTTAGCTTTTAAATATCCTTGGACCAGATCCTTCTGAAGTTTTACAGTCTCACAAGAGGAGCCAAGTATGTACACAAGAAACTATGGAAAAAAGATAAAGCAGAGCAAAGTACTTCATGGTATATACCTGGCCCAATAGAAAAGTCATGACATCCTTTCATAGGAAAAAGTTTGAAAAGGTTGCCCATTACTCCACGAAAAAGCAAATGAAAAGGCAAGATTTCAAATGTTCTGAAAATAAAGTGGTCTTAGCTTCTGAGGTGGCCCACTGAAAGCATAGAAGCAGAGATACTTTATCAAAGTAAACTGTGATCAAAACAGGCCAGCAAAGAGGTCATGAAAATGTCAGTTGCAAACCAAAGGTTTTTCTATTTTTTTAATAAATGTCATCATTTACACAGTAAAAAAACAAAACAAAACCAGGACTATTGTTTTTCATGAATTGCTCACTTCTAAAAGTGGCCCAATTTGCTGTCATACTTTGTGATGATTCTCAAAACCCTTTAATGGAACTCCTGGACAGAGGAGATCAGACTGAGCCCAGGCATGCTTGTTATTTTTCTTATTATATTGCAGTAGTATTTAAAGGCCCTGTCTAAGATCAGTTCCCTACTGTGCTTGGCACTATACGAACATACAGATAGTCAGAGAGAACTCCTGCCCCAAAAAGCATGCAATCTAAAAAGACAGAGATTGGAGAGGGGAATTATTATGTCCCTTTTACAAATCTGTCTGTCTATCTTGGGTACTTATATGACGCCCTTCACCATAGTTTCTGATTGCCATCCAGTCTAGTGCCTTACCTGCAAGACCATGCTTTCGAGTGTGCTCACATCAGAAATACACATGCTTGTCAATAAACTGTTTCCTTAGCAATGAGTCCCATTAAATAAAAATATCCACATACTCACCGGAACTATGTGAAAGAAAGAGAAAAGTACCTTTCAGAACTGTTTGTGCCTTTGTTTTACACCTTTTGCATGGTGCTTAGATTCTGTGATGAATGATAGGCTGCTTGGTAATGATTATAGATCTGTATCCCCCAATATAGTTGGGGTGGTGTGTTAGACTATCAGAGGGAAACAGAGAAGTTCCTATGCACTCCCAACACACTCACACGTCGATACAGTCACAAGAACAGTGAATACAAGCCATTAGTCTGAATAGCTTGTTCCATTGTTGGGTAGTTAGACCATCAAAGGGGTATTCCTCTACATGGACTTGCTGGTCCACTAGGAAAACTAGTTTGATGCAAAAGCATGAATTAATATCTTGGCCCTGTAAAAAGGACACCATTGGGCAATATGGTAGTTGATCCCAGACAAATGGTGAGGGTGGGGACTTTCAGAAAACTCAGATTCCTGTGTCCATGCTGGGTCCCAAGAGCCCATTTTTTTTGCTTCCTAA